GGGGGGCAGTACCTGCGCTGTGTGAATGCGAGTGAATGGGTTGCTTTGTGAGCGCACTCTAATCGTTTGCCTCTCTTCTCTTTTGCAGCACATTTCTGAATGGACCGCAGCCAACGTCGTGGAGTGGATGGCGGCCCTCAATATGTACAATTACGTGGATATATTCAAATCAAAAGATGTAAAGGGTTCAGACCTTCTGCACCTAGACAAAGAAAAATTAGTGGTGAGTATATAACCGTGGACTGATGGGATAGGGGGCTGGGAATGTGGGCTCTCGGCCCACCGTGCAGGGGGTAGGAGACGAGTGGGGACTTTATTTGGTCCAACACTCTAAGTCAGGCCGTCACGAAGTAGGAAAGACAGAGAGATCCTCATTATCATTGATTGATAAGACATTAGAAGCTGACTTGTCGCTTTATTCGTCGCCTTATCTTGTAAAGAAAATGAAGATAGCACTATGCGTAAAGCATTCAAAGCCCAATAAAATGTCTCTATCTCTCGAGCAACTTTGGAGGTTTTTGTTTCTTTGCCGTGACCAACTCTGTATAATATTCCTAATTATATGCTGTTGGTTTTACTCCTTGAAGTGTTGGAGTCTAGCTTTATAATTTGTTTCTATCTGTTTCAGAATATGGGTGTCAAGGATGAGTTCCATCAAAGAGCCATATTAGTCTGTGTAGAGGAGCTGCAATCAAGAACATTACACTCTCCCTTAGCTTCTGACGATAATTCGTTTGATACCGCAAATACTCATAACATGCGACTTTATAGTTTCTCTGAGCTTCAAAGATGTGATAAATGCCAAAAGTTTCTTAGAGGTCTTCAACATCAAGGGCTCATATGTCAAGGTATATATTCTTGAGTTGTCAACACTGAAGCCACTACTTTTACTTGTTTTGAAGTACTTCCAAAACTAATTGAATGTTTTCTTTGTACTTAGATTGTGGACTTGTTGCCCACCGAACATGCACTTCTACTGGCCTTCAGGCCTGTGTTCCGAAGACAGAACGGCTTCAAAGATTGCCGGCTAGTCCAGCCTTTGGAGTGGCCCTGTGTTCGGAGTTTGATCCTCGGGAACAGCCAGCACCTAAGCTGGTGCAGCTTTGTGTGCAAGCTCTGGAGACACATGCCATTAATGATGTAGGACTCAACCTGTACAAGCTGTACCGATCCACACCACCCTCAGATCGAGTGAACTCACTTGTAGCCCGCCTGAATGAAGGTAATTGTTTTTAATTCAAATTATGGCATCATTTTCATAAATGTTTGTATAGCATGTTCAGATGTTTAAGACTTGCATTATTTCTTGTTACAGGGGATTGGAATCACCTGAACGTCTACTCTTATGAGCCGAGTGTGGTGGCCTGTGTGCTCCATAAGTACCTAAGGGAATTGCCAGATCAGGTGATCCCTGTGATGTGGTATGACCGCTTCATTGATGCCTCTCGCATCCGAAATGACGAGCAGTGCGCTCAATGTCTATTGCGTTTGTATGAAGACCTGCCTCCGCATCATCGGGCGACCTTGTCCTATCTCATGGCCCACTTTGTGCGTCTGTGTCAGAAGCAGCATGCTAGAGGAATCCATGAACCTCCAACTGTCCTTGTTCAGAGCCTTTGCCATGTTTTAATCCGACCTCCTTGGGAACGTATCATGTAAGTTTCTTTTCATTTAAAGAAAAGCTAGGCATTGATCTTACTTTTGTCATTAGTCATGTTGTTTTCCCATGCCTTTTAATCACACAGTTATTTTTTCTATCCTACAGACAAGTTGTATATAATGCTGAAGCACACATTAGGATAACAGAAATGCTCCTCATGTACGGTCCATGGGGAGAAAAACTTCCTGAGTTTGCTAGAGCACCTGCTCTACCTCCCAGGAAAATTTCCATTACTCGACAGAGTCGAGAACCGGGTACACCAGGCTTTCCTTCTTCAGCTTCTGGGACTCCTCTAGATGAAGCTGAGGCAGACAAAAGTACTTCTGAACTCTCTCTTGAAGAGTGTGAATGGTATTGGGGTCAAATATCTCGGTAAGAATCTACACTATCTGAGGGAAATATTGATGAAATATTCATGTGATTTGAAGTTTTGCCATTTGGATGTTATTTTATCATACTGTTATTTCCTTTACAGAGAAGATGTTGGTGATAAGCTGATGGACACTCCTGATGGTACTTTTCTGGTCCGTGATGCTTCTAATAAGAGTGGAGAGTTTACTCTAACCCTGAGAAAAGATGGTAGCAACAAACTTATCAAGATATGCTGTAGGAATGGCCGTTATGGTTTTGTAGAACCCTACAACTTCAACTCGGTCCCAGAACTCATTAAATTCTACAGCAACAACTCTCTTTCTCATTGTAATCCAACGTTAGATATCAAATTAAGTTACCCTGTGTCACGTTTTCAACAGGTAAGAATTAAAGTTTGATTTATCCATCTCTGTGGTTCTAACGCTGGAGTTTTTGTGAAATTAACTAAACATTTATGGTGCACATTCTGCTTTACAGGAGGATGAAGTTTCGGCTTCAGAAGATATAGAAAAAATAGGAATGAAACTCAAAGAAGCTCAAAAAATTCTGGATGATAAATATAAACACATTCAAGAAATTTATGAGGATTATAATAAGTCTTCTCAAGAAATTGCCATTAAAAGACAAGCTTTAGAGGCCTTTGGGGAAGCAATCAATTTGTTCAAGGAACAGATTAAAACTCAAGAAAAGTTCCAGAAAGAGGCGCAGCCCCATGAAATGAAAGGGTAAGTAAATTTTAGAAATGTCACATTAAGTTTTTTGAGAAACTATCTATTTAAAAAATTGTTGTTACTAAAAATGATCCACTTACTACAGATTGTCTGAAAATGTTGATGCTCTCACTCGGCGACTGAAGTCTTTGGAAGACAGCAAGGCTCAACTAGATGAAAATCTCACTCAGCAGACCACGTACAACCGGTGCCTTGACCGAGAGATGACCAAACTAAAATCAGAGATTCAGAGTCTTGAACAAACCTCCACTAAGCTTATCTCACGTCTTAAGAATTTGGGGATCCAAAAGAACCGTATTTTAAATTACATTGGGCAAGAAGAAGCCTCTGATACTGATGGATGGCCTCATCATGATGAAAAAACTTGGTACCTGTCTGAATGTTCCCGTAATGAAGCAGATCGTATTTTAGCCAATAGACCTGATGGCACTTTCCTCATTCGTCCATCCTCAACATCAAACAAATATGCCCTTTCAATCCAGTAAGTTCCATTTTTAATCTATTTGCTCTAATAAGCTGATGTTATCTTAACTCAAATTGACTAATAATTGATTTTTTTTTTCTTTAGATGTAAAGGAACAACAAACCACTGTATTATTCTTCAGACGGAAAAGGGATATGGTTTTGCTGAGCCCTTCAATATCCATAGGACTCTCAAGGCACTAGTTTTGCACTATGCAACAAATTCACTAGAAGAGCACAATGAACACCTGGTGACTACTTTACTATACCCAGTTCGTGCGAAAATTCCTCCTCCTTCCACGCCCGTGGATCCCTCCAATTCTGTCGGTGGTGTACCCGAACTCAAGGGCTATGTGCCTCTTTCCCAAAACCGCTGAGTCATGAGGAAGAGCTTGGTTTTCCCAAACACTGCCATCAGTGCTTTGCAATTAACATCTTAAAAGTTGGGGACTTATTTTTATTGAAAATATCTTATCATGTTATTTGTGAGTTCAGGAGTTTTGGGGGTTCTGGTCACATATGTGCCATTTTGCCAAACCATCAAATTCATGAAGTTTATGATCTAAGATAAAGGAAGGCTTGTGGCTCAATTTTTCTTAGCTCTCAATGAATTGCAGACCTTTTGTTGCCATAACTTGGTTATGGTTTCAAAAGGAATGACCGTTCTGCTTTTTGGTGTTTTTTTAATTGCAATAGACATTCAACAACACAAAGTGCTGTGCTTCCCCATCTAAGATGTGTAGTAGTAAACTGCTGAAGAGACATCAATATACGTACTCAGAAGTGTGCAAGATGAAGAACTACAGATGTCTGTGATAATGGATTATTAATGGCATGTCAGTGTTATGCCAATAGTTAGCTTTTGTACAAATATGATCAATATTTGATGAATAAGTAAGAGATCCACCGATACTCTGGCTGTGTATCTACACAGTGAGATGGAAGTATGATTGGTAATTTTGTGAGTGAATGTGTGTATGTGTGTGTATGTATGTATCTATGTAGTATGTATGTATCTATGAATGCTAGGTAAAAGTCTGAGGAAATGCTTATAGGTGGAACATGAATTAATGTGATGTATGAAAGTGTATGGCAGTTCAAGGTGTATATTGTAGGAACGTGAATGAATTATGAAATCTGTGTGAAAAATCTAATACCATACGAGGCAAGTCAGAAGCAGTAATTGGATTATGGTGCTGCCTTGTGGTGCATGAGAAAAAATTAAGTGATACAGGAACCTGCTTCAATTTTGTAGTCCTAGGTGTATGAATTTGATATTTTGCTTCTGTGTGATTTCTTTTCTTTTTCTTTTTTTTAAAAATATGGCCGAATATTTTGCTACTAACTTACCTGTCTTCTTAAGTGTACTGTTTTGGTCAATCTACCCATGTTATAATTTGTAGGATGGCTGAATTATAGTAACTTGTTTATAGGTCTTTTTTATGATGTTTCTATAAAATCAATTTTTGTTAAATCTCTTCATTTGTTGTTTTGTGTTGAAAGAAGTTGCAAAATGTGACCCTATTCTTTTGTTCGTATGTGGCGGTGGTCTCCCAAGTAAATTTCTACTCGGAATACTAGTCCCATTGTCATTGTATTCACTCCAGAAAAGGGTCAGATTTTGACTGCTCAAAGTCTTTATAATGATAAAACTTATGCTCGTTGAAATCTTCTCTCAATAGTTTCTATGAATGGCCACTTGTGAATGTGCTCAGAAGCGAAACAATTTCTGTGCTTTGGGTTGGCATGAGAAAAAGAAGTTGGATTGCTAAATAATTACTACTTACCTTGAATCTACATGATTTTGAAATGGGGTAGAAAAGTTACCCCAGTACCAAGAAAATTTGTGCACTTGCACTTAAAGACAAAATCTTGAGGACAATATTATTTTATAATATTATTCTTTACTTCATTTTAACTCACTTGCACTCCCTCAACCTGCACAGAAAATGTTCCATGCAATCTGAAGACTTACTGATGTTTGTGATCCCAGTTATCTCAGGACTTATCTGTCTATGTATTCTTTCTCAATACTCTAAGTCAGAGTACATTATTGATACTCTAAGTCAGAGTACACTAATTGTATTTTTGAATTGATATGTAAGAATCAACATTGAAGAAGGATTTTGTTTTTCAAATCATGTTAAGGTGTGTAGAATTGCTTCATGGCATTGTGGAATGTTGGTTTTGCTGAGTGATAACTATTCATTTTAATACTGTCACAAATCATGTCCACCATGCATATTGTCCAAGAGTATGTGTATATATTTTTAAGTGATTTCTATGATGCCTATTTGCAGTACTTTCTATTTTTAAAAGAAATTACGGTATGTTATTACTCTGTCAACTTACATTTTCTTGCCTCTTGTTTCACTTTTTAATCTGCTGCAAATCATTTCTGCTTAAATTACCTATTATATTGTTACAAGAGTCAGCCTGAGAAGAAAATGTGAGGTATCAAATCAACTGGTCAAAACATTCTTGTAACATCTCAAACTTTTTGAAGCTGTAAATTTCCTTATTATTTTTTTTTAAGTTTCCAATTTTATTGATGTAAGTGTCTTGTGGTTTGTGGCTGTGTGATATGATATGGGACTTACGTCGCGCTCAGTCTGCCGGCAGCCCACTAGCGCGGCATATCACTCACCCATCGAAGTCCCAACCTGTTGGTACCAACCTGTTGGCTGGTATTTTACTGAATTTTTATTTTTAATACACTATAGATGTATATTTATGAAAACGAAAATGACTATACTAGATTTAATTTATAATAGGGTAACAAATTGTATATCTGGCCTCTTAAAAATTGTTTCAATTTTTTTTTCAACCAATGTTTAAAAATTTAATGTATTCCATGTAACATTGGAAGTCTCCCGGCATTAGAGAACATAGCTATGTGATAATTGTACTGTACTTTGTTCAACAGACAAATATGATGTTTGTAAGATTTCTAATAAAGAAGTATATTGATTACTTAAAAAATATTACACTTGCCACTTTTTGTTAACTACCCCGTCACGTCAGTGACTTCCCCTCCCCTCCCCTCTCGTTCTCGTAACTGCAGGAGCCAATCATTCAATCGGTCCCAATGTGACAGATTGAAGTTCGTGACAGGGAGAAACTAGTACTCGAGAAAATAGTTTCGGGATTCAGTTCACGCCAGAATGCTTCTGACCGCTGCAGACATTTCATATGGCCATTGGGCAGGAGAAGGGGGGCTCACCCAACTCTAACTGTCGCTCAATTTCCGTCCGATTTTATTTCCGCCATGGTGGGCACCCCTGCACCAGGTCGGCCATTCCCTCCTGGAGCAGCTCGTGTTAGGCTAGGCTCACAGCCTCACATCGATCCAGCACGGGAAGATGTGGGGGTGGGGGCAGCAGCACGCAGAGCAGCACCCCCACCGCCGGGCCGGCGCCCTGCTGCGCTCTGCCCCTCGGCTCGGGCCCCGCGCTGCGCGCTCGGCTCACAAGACTCCCTCCCCGCACCGAGCCGCTGCCAGTCGACGCGTAAAGAGCGCTGCGAGTGCTGCAGCTCGGTGGTCCAGCAGCTGCAGGACAACGTCAACACCGTCATCTCGAGCCGCCCAGTGTCGGGCCGGCCTCAACAGACCTTCAAGTCGGGAACCTTCGCCTGCCCAGAGATGGGGTTGGTGAGTACTTTCCGTTGGACACTCCCAACAGGCAGTGTGGTCGATCGCTGGCACTCCGGACTGGATCGATTCGGCTATGGCCCACCTGTGACGGCGCTAGGGCCGGTGGCCTTCAGGGCTCTCCATGAACTGTTCTCGGGTTCGTTCCCTTTTCCCTTTCGCGCTCCAATCGTAGTTAATGAAGCAAAATCCCTGCTAACACTTCGAGTCCGTCGTCAAGCCGATCGCTGATCCTATCATCGCTGCATGACCATATGTCACGACACCTGCTTCCACAATTTTCTCCTTGCATTAAGGAGGGAATTTTTCAGCAGCTGTGTCCTGGGCCTGTGACCCGCTGCCGTTTGGGCGATTTAGATCTCGGGTCGGTCTTTACTTTCCATCGCAATTTAAATAATAAAGTGTTTACGCGATTTGTAAGAGAGGTCCCTAAACTGCCTATTGTAGGGAAAATTGCCCTGGCTTCGCAGGAATCAATGCAATGCGCCACCATTCATGGAAAATGCGGCGACCATTACCGTTGGAGGCAAAGGATCGTCCAGAAAGTACGTCGGCTTTCCTCTGTTCGAGAGCTTGGCGCCTGCGAAGCTCAGGGTAGGCTGCCCCGCCGTACACACATGCGCTGTAGGGAAGATGTTGCCTACCTACCAGGCGCTTTGAGCCTGCCTCTGTGGCGGACAGCGGACGCTTTGCTGGGTCATTTTTAAACGTTGCTGCGGCTATTCATTTACCGATTAGAATTGAAGTGATGGCGTTCAAGTAAATATACTACGGAGTTATACCCGAGTGGATAAGTGTATGCGTGGTCGTGGTCGACTTTAACCCCGCCCAAAGTGGCTGTTGTCAAATAAAAGGCAAAAGAAAACCTCTCCTCGCAGATCGCGTCACCAAATGCCGATAGTTTTTTCCTATATCTCTCCTCCTCTTCGCCCGAATAACAGCTGATGGCAGGTCAGGTATGTATTCGTTTGTAGTCAACAACAAACACAGAGGTGTGCTTTGCACGTTGGGCAAACTCTTTAAAAAATAATATAAAAAACAATGATATTTGGTGAGTGTAAACAGAAGAAATGGTGGACGGTGGGTTTGTCTTAATTGAGTTATTCCGCGGGGAAACTAGCAGCTCGCTCTTCCGGTCGCGAGGGAGGGGGCTGACGGAGAGGGGAGAGGGGGAGGGGGGCTGTCGCGCCGCGCCATGGCACGCCTTCATGCGATCCACTGTGTTAACGTTGACTCATGTGTCTAAGTGATGTATTGGCCTATGTTATGTGTATTCCTAGTGGTGCCAGAGTGCACCTGTGGGTGACATGCGGTTATTTCGGATTATTTCTGGGTATTTCGCAGCATTCCCGGGGTATTTCGCGACTATTTCACCATTTCACGTCTATTTCGGGTCTATTTTTCTCTATTTCGTCTTCGCCATTGTTTCGCACTTTCGCACTATTTCGCATTTATTTTGGGGGAAGGCGTATGTATGGACTATTTCGCAAGTGATTTCCCCCTCGAACACACCCTACAGAAACACTCTATAAACGCCGTGGTCGCCGATCTTGCCAAAATGTTGGCACTACTTTATGATTTTTGGTCGTCTTTTGGAGACTGACAATGTTTTGGGTCTTTGCTTGCCTTCTTTCAAAAGGACATCCAATTTTGGCAAACAAAAAATGGAGTACGCCAAAATTTTTGCAAGCCAAGAGACCATGGCGTTCCGACCGATGGCGGTTTGTCGAGATGACTCGTCAAAGTGAGGTTGCCTTGTATACACGACATGAGCACATGATGTGATAGGGGTAAATCAACTTTCTTTCATACTGTATGTAGTATGACTTCCCCCTCTGGCTCTTTCGATAGTGCGTTGGACGGTTCGGGCGGCAGGTAGCGACAGTATCGAGGTGATGCACGACTCGAATCGTTTCGGCCTCTTTGACAGTTAATGAATTCGCGAGTACCTGTCGCACGTGGCTCCTGGCTGGCGCACCTGGCGCCCGCGGGCCTGCGAATCGCCTTGCTGCGTTCAGCAAAAAGACAAACTTCTGTGGCTGTGCGCGATCAGGGTGACTTTTTTTGTATGTGCGTCGATTTTTTTTGGAAGCAAATTTTAATCTTGGCTCCGTATCCTGGTCGAACATATAGATTGAATAGGTTTACCCTTAAAAAAGGTTAAGCTTAGTGTCTAGTTGTGTTACATCGACGGAGGTGTACGAACCGCAGAAATGGAAGGAAAGATACACTTGAACGCTGAAAATAAAAGTGATTCCCCCTGAATGGAAAACGTGAGGACGTGAACCCATACGGCTGGAGAGGTCAGCAGATATAGCAGACCGCTCAGTAAAACGGGAATGAATGGCGGAGAGTTTCCTCAGCTCCGTGTTCTTCCTGGGTCGCGCGCCGGCCCGCGCCCACCCGCCGCGGCGCGGCACCGTCTCAGGTCGTGGCGCGGTGGTCCTCGTGGAGGTGTATGGGGGAATGGTCGCGGGTCACATCTTTCCGAAACGTTCTCGCCAGCGCGTGCGTGGTTGATACATTATCCGATGAACGGTCTGACCACTGCGCGATCACTACCGGCAGCAAACAAGGCGTGCGATTGGTTGAGAAAACCGTGACTACGGCTTGTCTTGTCACACATATCACGCCTGTCGCTCGCTGGCTCGCGTGCGCGTGCCCGTGCGCGTGTGTGTGAGAGAGAGTGAGAGTGAGTGTCATATGTAGCCTGCTTCCGTTCCGTTCTGTCCACTCCACATGCCTTTCCACCGCGGAAGCATTTGCCGCTGCAAACCTCAAGGTCGGCGGGCCGGCCGGTCCAAAGCGTGCGGCGGCGGGCGTGGCGGGCGAGGCG